CATTAGGGTCATTATACTGGTCTATACTGGGCAAACTGACCTGAAACAAATTGTTTTACAAAATAATAAAATGATATTATTTTATTTTCATGGATCAGTGAAACACTTCAATATCGTGAATGCTTGCAGTGTAGTGGATCTAATAATATTAATAGCAGAACCAGATTGTTAAAGTAGTCTTACTAATTATGTGATGACGTGGTCAATAACATTTTTCAAAGCAGTCACCTCTATCAAAGGAAATAGAAGAAGTCTGCACACAAGCTACTTGACTACTTCGATGTATGTTATCTATCATGGAAAAGTAGTTCATTGCTTTGTGGGCTAGACTCAGTATAGATTCGCTTGAGTTCCAAATATGGCTGTACATGTGCTTTGAGACTTTTTGTCCCGATTGGCTTCTTTCAACTGCTGTTGGAGCATATTTTGTTTCCTACGGATAATTGTTTAGTAAAACGCAAAAAGGTGAAAAACGTCATGAACTTATTACCTCCGTATTATTTCAAGCACCTCATGAGCATATAGTTCAAGAAAAATAACGCCGTCGTCGGTTAAGTTTGTTTCGACGGTTCTCTATCATCGATCATCGGCCATATTGGATTTTTATGGAGGTTTCCGCTGACAACTCGTTCCCAGACTTCCGTTCCCCGTTCCCCGCTCCCCGCTCCCCGTTCTTCGTTTTAGTAACATCCGCAACAGTATGATCCCAGCACAAAAAAAGCGGTTCATGAGAGAGATTAAGGGGAAGGAGTTAAAAAGAAGGTCGTTGAACAGTCACATGCAAAAAAATAAATAAAGAGCACGCTAGTGAAGAGGTCAGACCCTTTTAAATGAAATAGATGCTCAAAAGTAGACTGCTTAGCCTGCCGAAATAACGGATCTTGCCGCAGAACGGGTGATTTAGGATTGCAAGAGTAAAGTATGTTGAATTTGAATTGTTATTATGGAGGAGAAACATAACGAGGCGCCTATTATACACTCGCGGGAAAGACCTCTTCACTGGCGTGCTCTTTATTTATTTTGTGCATGTGACTGTTCAACGACCTTCTTCTTTTCCCCTTAATCTCTCTCACGAACCGCTTTTTTTGTGCTGGGACCATAGTGTTGCTGGCATGAAAGCCGTTGAGTTATCCCCCCCCCTTTTCCCGTACCAATTTTCACGCCTCCTCCTCCTCCCTCGTACCCTTTCTAATATTTTTCTTTTCCAGGACCGGTACGGTACGGTACGGTTTTCCCGCCGTTTTCATCCACAGTCCACTCCCGACAACTCAAACCTTCAGGGAAATGGAGATCAAAAGTGAATGGAACTACGTCTGCATCTCGAAAACTAAGCCGTCCCCCCCCTCAAGCCCCCTCACATCTCCGCCGACCCTTTGTAAATCTTCTAACCAAATTAGTGAGTCGATAGTGGATACGAATTAGGATTTTCATTTCTTCACCGTTAAAATATTCATAACTTCTCACTTTTCAGCGCCATTTTTTTCAATAAAATGAAAAATGAAAAACTGTCCGAAAGAGTGTATCGTTAAAGTTTTTCTATTTATCCAAAAAAAAAGGAAAAATAGAGAATTGCTCGCAACACTTGTCATATTTTCAATTTTCTTGTTAAAATGGAAGTATGGAAAATTAGGCTATAGGTATGCCCTTTTTCTATTTTTTCATTTTTTGAACAAAATGAAAAAAATGAAAAAATGGTGCGAATAAATATCATTTTTTCATTTTTCTGTTTGTCTGTTTTTTGGGAAAAACGGAAAAATAGGAAAATGATGTAGGACTCGGAGATTATTATATTTTTCTCACTTTTCTAACAATATCAAGAAAATAAAAACAGCAAAATATCGCTTTTAGACGTTTACAGTATTTTTTGTATTTTTGAAGCGGACTTCAAAATTAGAAAAATGAAAAAATGATCAATTTTCCTGACCATTTTCTCTTTTTCTATTTTTGGCTGTACTTTAAAATATGTAAATATGATAACGATAAGTAATATGTCCTTTTTCCGTTTTTGTTGGAAAAATGAAAAAATAGATCGGCCGAAGTGTGCACGGACCCACAAGCCGTTCGAACGGATGGATGATTTTTGTGAACGGATGACCAAACCGCTCGAACGGATGCAAATTTTTCCGAACGGGTACACTAGCCGTTCGAACGGTTGGGCATTTTTTGTGAACGGATGACACAGCCGTTCGAACGGCTTGACTTCCTTTTTAAACGGATCGCCCAAGCCGTTCGAACGGATGCAAATTTTTTCTGAACGGATGAGAAACGGCTTGTGAACGGATTTCCGTTCGAAAACGGGAAGCCGTTAGTGTACGTTTTCGCGTGAGAGGTCACCTGTCTTTTATTATATTATTTTATTAAGTTAACATCTATATAACCTGAGATCAGGCTCTATTTACGTTTCGCTTATTCTGGCGGGAAAAACGACTACGTAAGAGGGAATGTATGGAGGCTACTAAAATTGGGCCTGATCTCAGGTTAGTATCAGTGTTTTATTTTGTTTCAGTTGTTGATAATGGTCACATCCTGACCGAAAAGACGAAAGAAAGTCGTGAGTAAATGGTGGAAGCCAACAGTTTTCTCTCTTTCAGTGTTTTGTGTCTGTCCTTTTATGATACAGCTCCTTTCCAGCAAAAATCTCGCGACACAGGCTCCCAAATTTGCTTAGATGCGATCAGGTTGTACTTGCTTTTCAAGGCCCTTTGGGTGGGGTTTAACGTTTTTCCTCATAGTAGAAATACAACGGAACTGTTAGTTCTTTCAGTATTTGCTCTGTATTTTAGTTAGTAGTTAGTAACGTAGTTATAGTTCTGCAGCATATTGGTTTTTGTAAATGTCAAGCGTGTGTGTGTTTTTAATAAAGTTGTAAAAAAAAAAAAAGAAATGCAACGAAACATTAGGGTGTCTGACCTAGAAATGGGTCTTCACATTTAAGACATTTCTTAGAACAGAATATTGAAGCTGAGCGCTCAAAACCATGATTTTTGTCAGCGAACGGTTTTTTTGCTAATCTTTACTGAAACGATTGGCCAAAATCTAGAATTGTGTATTATTTTGAATGCATGATCTTTTTAAAGGGTTTAATTTCAGCTGGCTGGTTCAATACTTATCTCACTAAACCGGCTAATTGCAGTTAGTAATTACGTTGGATCGGCAATTTAAACAAAACACACGAATGCAAAATTAAACCTATAACGCTGGAAACAGCTGTTCAGTAAAATGTATACATCATGCTGTTAGATTTTAAACGTCTCATTTTCTTAAATAGTTCTTGACTTTTTCCACCAGAGCAAACAGAGGAAAGAGCGCTAGTCTTTGCAGCTGCTGAAAATAAGAGAACAATAATAACTATTTAGTTTTCTTTGAATAATTATATCAGTCCTGCAAACCTGGATAGAAAGGAAGCATTTCCAAAGGGGTATGTTTAGCGGAGTCTGATTCTCCTTGAATGCTTTAAAATAATGTAACCACTTGCCAAAAGCTACTAGCAATCTGACGGACAATCGGCAAACAATGAATGAGGAATGCTTGCTCGTTTGACCATTTTCCCGCCACCAACACACACTCTTATGAATATTTACCGATCTCTTATCGCACTTTCTTTAACCGGTGGCTTGAAAGTTTGGGCGAAGCATGTAACACGAGCTCTCCAATTCTATTTTTACTCAACCGTACTGAATCAAGTTGCAGTCCTCTATCGGCCAATGCCGGTGTTTTACCTTACAATTTCCCTACTGTGAACTAACAGTCAACTAGGACACCAGACCCAGAAATACACATAGCTTTATAGTATGCAAGATCTTTTTAAGACATTTCGGATATTCACCCTTAGTCTACACGACTGATCATCTGCTTCCAACGAATTCCCACCAAAATCTCCTAACCTTAAAGTCCACTTATTAAATTCATTCACTAGAGCTGGAGGAAAAATATGGAATGAGATGCCTATAACACACTGTAAAATCTTCCGACAAATGCATTTAAAAGGAGAATAAAAAATTTCTTGACATCCTAACATTAGAAAATCCTACAGATGTCGATGGAGAGCTAAACCGGAGAGCTATGTCTCTTTTTAAATCCTCCTCCTGTAAATATTTTTGCTTTTTTTTGTCCGTTTAGCGTGTTTAGTGCTTGCTTTATATCCTAGCTTATATTTGAACATAATTTCGCCGCTTATTTATTAAATTTAATAAGCGCAGCCCTTACGGTTTCAATACGAACTTCCATGCCAAAATACTACTAGTTGTTCCACTTAACTTCAAATGTCATATGCGCACCAAATTCCTATTAGGCTATTTTGCTAGCAACAAGAACTTAAACATCTGCCAGATAAAAAAATGAGGACCTGCACAAGTAAGTGCTATCAGTCATTAGTAAAATCCAGCTAGTGGTCTATTATCAATGCTGCGTTTTGATTGGTCGAGCTACTACTAGGCTATATGTTATAGCCCACTAATCGCGTTTTGCTAGCTAAACTTGTTTTATCTCAATATTTTTGACCAACCAGTTGGATTTTACTAAAACAATTATTCCTCTCGCCCTCATGGCCTCTGAGTCAATAGCCCTTTCGGCCTTCGGCCTGACTCAGAGCTCATTCAGGCTCGAGGAATAATTGTTAAATGTAAGATCATTTAGATAGACTGCATTCGAAAGACCCTTGAAAATGGACGCATAACAGAACGGGTGCGTGATGATGAATAACCCAGCCTTGGAGCGTTGGTCCTTGTGTGGAGCGAATCTAAGGATTGTGTTGTACACAGTATGTCGAATTGTTGGGCTACGCTATTGGTGAAAAAATGG